AAATGATTATGACATACTTTAATTGAATACAGCATAAATTTTATAATGAAGCTGATTACATAGTTGAATATGGTTCGATTTTTTTTAATAAAGCTGATTATAACATGCTTTAATTGAATAAAGCATAAATTTTATTATAAAGCTAATTACATAGTCGAATATGTGTCAATTTTTTATGTAAAAATGATTATGATATACTTTAATTGAATAAAGCATGGATTTTATTATGAAGCTGATTATATAGTTGAATATAGATCGATATTTTATATAAAATGATTATGACGCACTTTAATTGAATAAAGCATAAATTTTATAATGAAGCTGATTATGTAGTTGAATATGTGTCGATTTTTTATGTAAAAATGATTATGATGTGCTTTAATTGAATAAAGCATGAATTTTATAATGAAGCTGATTACATAGTCGAATTGAGTCAATTTTTTATGTAAAATAATTATAATGTACTTTAATTGAATAAAACATAAATTTTATAATGAAGCTGATTAAGTAGTCGAATATGGGTTGATTTGTTATGTAAAAATGATTATGACATGCTTTAATTGAATAAAGCATAAATTTATAATGAAGCTGATTACATAGTCGAATATGGATCGATTTTTTATATAAAATAATTATGATTTGCTTTAATTAAATACAGCATGAATTTTATAATGAAGCTAATTACATAGTTGAATATGTGTCGATTTTTTATGTAAAATGGTTATAACGTGCTTTAATAGAATATAGCATAAATTTTATTATGAAGCTTTATATAAAAATAATTATGACACGCTTTAATTGAATACAGTATGAATAGTTGAATATAGATTGATTGTTTCTAATTATAACACACTTTAATTGAATACAGCATGAATTTTATAATGAAGCTTATAATGAAGCTGGTTACGTAGTCGAATATGATTTGATTTTTTATATAACGATGATTATGATATGCTTTAATTGATACTATTATAAATTAGAATACAGCATAAATTTTATAATGAAGCTGGTTATATAGTCGAATATGGTTCGATTTTTTATGTAAAAATGATATGACAAAATTTTGATTTTAAAATTCAATTCAATTTAATTTCCAAATTTTTGACCAAATTTAGATCAAATTATTGAAGAAATTGGCATAGTTAAATTTGATTAAAAATCGGATGTCAAATTTTTGACTAAATTAGAATAAATCGGTATAATTGAATTTTATTAAAATTCGAATGTCGAATTTTTGACTAAATTAAGTCAAATTATTGAAGAAATCAGCATAGTCAAATTTGATTAAAATTCAGCTGTCGAATCTTTTGCCTAATTTAGGTCAAATTATTGAAGAAATCGGCATAATTGAATTTTATTAAAATTTGGGTATCAAATTTTTTGACTAAATTAGGTTGAGTTATTGAAGAAATCGATATAGTCGAATTTTATTAAAATTCAGTTGTCGAATTTTTGTCTAAATTAGATCGAATTATTGAAGAAATCAGCATAGTCAAATTTTATTAAATTCAGTTGTTGAATTTTTGACTAAATTAGGTCGAATTAATGTTGAAGCTACCGAATTTTAAAAAAATCAGTTGATTTGTTGCCGAATGTTATTGTAATTCAACTAGGTCGAATTCATAGTTTTCGACTAGTATATCTCTTATATCAGCAAATTTTTAAACCTATAATATTATGTAAGGTTTACAATTGATGTAGAATATTGCACAAGATTTTAAAAAAATATGAATAGATGCAAATTTTATTAAAAAAATTTATAAATTTCGATAAGTAGTCTTGTTTAGCACCTTATTTTAGTCATAATGGTAGTTAAATCATCAAAATCAGCTTAATATTCACTAAGATAGCTTAATTGTAATATTTATAAATAATATTTCAAATATTTTGCAATATTACATAATAATTTAAAATATTATATCACTATTATAATTAAGCTATCTCAGCAAATATTAGACTAGTTTTGATGATTTAATTACTATTATGATCAAAATAAGGTGCTGAACAAGGCTACTTATCAAAAGTTTGTGAATTTTCTTAAATAAAATTTGCTCCTATTCGCATTTTTTAAAATCTTATACAATATTCTGCATTAATCATAAATTTTATATAATATTATGGATTTAAAATTTGCTAATGTAAGACTACTCACTGCAAACTGAACTGCATTTTCCTTTGTTGGATCACATTAGCCTCAGATTTTATAGGCCCTGAATATAGATGACAAGCAAACTATCAGCTTAAAAACATGCTCTAATATCTTCATCTAGGCAGCAAAAACCAAAACTATAGAACTTGAAGCAGATAAGAAAGAACTATTTATTTTTGAAATAAATTTTAAAAAAAACTTTTCATATCCTTTCTAATCTCTTATTATATACTTTACTGACAGTTTTTTTATTAAATATTCTGCATGAACTAAGCATTTTTAAATCAATCTATTTATACTACCTTTAATCTCCAAAGCTTATTTCTGTAAGATTTTAGACAACCTGAAGATCCTAATTAAATAATATTTACAGGTAAAGAGAGATTCACCTCTTCCTATAATTAAAGACAATCACTATTACTATCTGGCATTCCTTGGCATATATAATAGCTCTGTAAATCATTACAAAAGGGTACACAGATAGTTTACTACACTTTTTAATTCTAGAAAAAGCAATCTACTTCTTTTGAACCTAAACAATATTCAGGCTATTGAACCTTTTCATTTTGGCATTTAAATAGTTTGCAAATCTGTCAACATCAAACTTTTCTTAACAAATCTCTAACTACTCTACAACATCTATTTTTAAAAATTAATTTCCTAAATTTAATATTTAAATAAAATTGTCAGCTAGATTAAACTTGCTTGAAATCCAATGAACTTGAAAAATATTTATATCTTTCTTCAAACAAACATTCCAAATTTTTCTTGCAATATTCTTTTGTCATTTCCTTAACCCCTATACTAAACCATCCTCAGAGCTACTTAGTTGTCTATCATCAATATAATTACTAATCCTTTTAACTGAACCTCTAAAGATTACAATACTTAAAAAACAGCTATAGCTTCAAGTTGTCAATTATATTTGCAGAAAGCCACTTTATATAACTGCCACTTGCAATCAAGTTCTGATAAATTCTGTACTAACTGATTACAAATGCATCTACAAACATTGAATTCACTTAGAATAGCTTTCATGCTAGGCAACTATTCTAACTTTTCAAGTTTTCTATCAGCCACTGCACATCTTCTACTGCCTATTCTGTCAAAACTATATTCTTGTCTTACTTATGTAACTAACAGTTCTTATTATCTATCAATTGATAAAATTCTAAGTTTTTTATTTAAGCAAAGACATAGGCCTTTGCCAAACTTTGAATTTTGGCTACAACTAAAGCAAGCTTTTGAACCAAAACTGACAGAGTTTTTAACATGATCTTTAGCAACAAATCTATTGTTTTTATTTTTCTTCTAATATAATAATCAACTCTTTTAGTATATCTATTACTAATTTGCAAAATGGGCCTCTGAACTAGGTTCTAGCTGCTTTTCTCCATGTTACAGATTCATCTACAACCTTCCAAATTCACCTTTATCACTTCCTTCTTCTGTTTTAACAAAATGTCTTTTAACAGATAAACAACCCAAATATTGTTAAGGTAATTTTTACAAAAAATACCACAGACTCTTCAACTTCTAATTATTACTCTCATTACCTTTGCAAATATTTAAGAAGATTGATTTAATCCAAAAGAAAGCACCTTGTAGTAAAACTACTTCTCCTCAAATACAAATCCTGAAAAATATTGCACTAAGTCATCTATCATTAGGTGGTAATAAACCTCTTTCAAATCAAATATTAGTATCTACTAATTTTTTCTTATTATTCTTAATAAAATTCTTAATTCTTCAAACTTGAATGACTTCTTAGATAAGGTTTTGTTTAACAACCTATAGTTAATAACTAATCTGAATTTTTTGAAACCTTGTTTAGGAACCACAAATACAAAGCTTACTTCTAAAAGAACTTCTGACCTTGATCTGCCTCTTAATATTAATTCTTCTGCTTCTAATGCTTCTAAACAAACTAATTTCTAATTTATTTAATCTCTTTTTTTCACTGTAAACTGCTATTAAGTAGATATCAGCAAAGATATCAGCTTCATTATATCTCTTAGAAAAAGTGAAACTCTCTTTTCTAATCATTCCACTACTACAAAAACCAATTTTTCAATAATGAACTGCTGAATCTGAATATAGCTCCTGATTATAAAGTAAAACAAGTTTAACATATTTTTATTCTTGACCTTTAGAGTCACATTTGTCTAAGTGTGAACAGCTTCTTCTGAGCCCAATACTTTCATCATGAAAAAAAAAACTCATATGTTTTCTTGACCCACACTCATTAGCATAATGCTCTTTCTCCTCATACAGATAATATACAATTTGCTTAAATGATACTAACCTATTAAACATTCTTGTATTTCTATATAAAGCTTCAGATGAATTACATGATAAAAACTGCTTATATGTGCCAACCCAAGGATTTGAAGACCAAAAATTAAAAAAAGTTGCTAATCTATAAAAAAAAAACCAGACAAATCACATAAATATGTCTTATTTCAATAATTATTAATAGAAGAAAAAAACATTCTCTAATAAAATATCTGTTATCAATTTAGATAAATAAAAGGTTGAGGCTAAATAAACAAAGAAATATATAAGCTTAAAACTTGAACCTACGCAGGAGGTTCTAGCTAACTGTTAGAGTTATAACATCATTTATAAGACCTCTTAAAATATTTATTTTTTAGAAACTGCTGTATCACCATCCTTGCTCTTTCACGTTTTCTATCAAACAACTCTAATATTAAATCTAACATATTACCTGATATCATTTTTACAGCTACACTCCAACCATCCTTGTCAGCCACTCTCACCACATAAGCCCTTTTCAGCACTACTTGACTAGCCAGTTAAACATAATTAGCATCTCCTATAAAGAAAACTTTATCTAACAACAAACCTGCCTTGTATCACTCATTATATACCCAATGATTTTTTGCCTTAGCCAGCTTCTGCTTCCTCTATAAGCCTTCCTGTAAATCCTAATTCAAAGATATATCATTTGCCAAAAAAGGTATACGCAAAGAAGATGGAACATTATATTGGATCATTATTAAATTCCCAAAATTCACTGAAGCATTATTAAAAACATCGACAAAGACTTTTTTCAACTCAAAACCAAGCCTACTGCCTTTTTTAAAAACCTCCTTTGCAACATTATCAACATCAACAACTTTTTCTTTAACAGAGATATCTGAATCCAACAAAACATACCTCTTTCTACTTTTATTAACTAAACAGCTCACTAAATCTTGCTTCGAACCTAACTCAGAAACACTCAATTCGTAACATAAAAACTTTAACATATCTACTAATATACGACCAAAATTAGCTTCAAAATTAGTCTGGCCAGCTTTCTGAACTGTCTCAACATCATTTTTATGCATTAACTCAACATTGCTATTAGTAGATGATGAATCATCTTCTACTGTAACAGATTTATTATACGAATTTATAGCTAAAACTTGCTCAATGTAACCAGATCAAAAATCAGAGTTTGTAGAAAAAACAAGGCTATCTTTACCTATCCACTTTAACGACCCTAATATATACTTAATGATTATTTCATAATTACATATTTATACTATATTGATCAATTACTTACTAATTACCTTATAGTTATATATAAACTATCAAATACCCAAAAGAAACAATTATCTCATACTTATAGATCGAAAAATCGATTGAATATGTGACTGTAAATGGAGCATGTCACATGTCCGAACCCAAGTTGATTTGAAACAAACACTGCCTCGATACTTACATATCGAGCAATTATGATCTTCAAATTTTTTTGCAAACTGCAATAATCGATTAATCAACTAATCAATTAATCGATTAACTATTTGGTTTTATTTTATTGCAGTTTGCAAAATTATATGAAAGTTGAAGAAAAAATAATCATTGATTTCTGATTACTGTTTCCGATTTCTTTAATATTTTCTTTGATTTTTAGACTTGACAAAATTTGCGCATTTATTATTTGTAAAACTTTAATTGAATATTTTAATTCGCAGCTTCTATTTCTGCAAATATATTACAAAATGATGAATATGCAACTTTTATTTCCATAAAAATAATAAAATTTTTACAAAAT